TTCCCAGCCATGGATCTAATAAAGATGTGCCTTCAGATAACCTGTGGTGGTTCAAGACTAGCATTCTTTGCTTAGTCTCTATCAAGTAATTGTGGGACTCACCAGGAATGCATTTTAGTTCAGAGTTTGCACATGTTCTCTCCTTTTTTTCTGTTTGAAAATTTAATCTTGCTTTTAAATTCATCTTTCTGTGCTGAATCATTTGATGCAGGAGTGATTGCGCTGGTTACAACTTGGAGGCGAAGGTAATATGTGTATAGTGGCGAGGACAACAGTGACAACGCCAGAAAATTAGTTCTTGTGACAATTGGAATGGACAACTAGCGACAGTTTGGCTTAAATGGCGGCAAGGTTGATGGCAGCAACAACGGCAATGTTCCTCGGACGATTGGGCTTGACAGGTTTTTTTCCCCTTCTCTGTCTTTTGATGATTTTTGAATGGACGAACCGACCAGCAAAGTCTTGAATATTAGCTGAACAAGAAGAAGAGAACCAGGTCAAGTTAAGAGGCAGGAGCCATTGGTCATTATCATAAATCAAACCCAAAATAGAGAAGGTTACAATTTGTTCTCCATCCCCAAGAGCATAGTCACAGGCCCCCGAGCAAAAGGGGCGTGCAATCAAACCCGCCCCTCAGAGACGGGAGGGTGGGATTGCACGCCAACCACCCCAGAGGTCATGGCAGACTGATGTAAGCAAAACACTCTGGACTGTTTTGCTTACGTCAGCGCGCCAGTGACTCTTTCCTCCTGGCCTTTGAGACTGTACAAGTCTTGAAGACCAGGAGGAATCCCTCCCAGCCATCAAGACTGTCTTGATATCTGGAAGGGGTTCCTCCCGGCCATTGAGACTTGTACAGTCTTGATGTCCGGGAGAGATTCTCCTGGTCTTTGAGACTTGTACAGTCTCAAAGACTGGACGGAATCCCTCCTGGCCATCAAGACTTGTACAGTCTCGATAGCCGGGAGGGATTCCTCCTGGCTCTCCAGACCAGGTGTGCAGGCCAGCCCTCCCTTTTTTGGGCGGGTTGTACTGCACACCCCTCTTGTTGCAAATGTCAGCAAACAGAGGGGCATGCAGAAAAACCCACCCAAAAAGAAGGGCGGGTCTTACTTCCTGCCCCTTTTGGAGGGGTGGGGGCATGGGCGGGCGGGAAGGGGGAGGGAGTGCATTTATCAATGAACCTTCTACACACTTCAACCTGCCACATTTACCTCAATCATCTGTCTGACCGGTGAGACTCATCATTCCTCAAATCTAGTCTTGATGCCCTCTCTTTTCTCTGATCTCTTGCTGACTTTGATTTGCTGATGTTTCTTTGTTTAGTATCTTATATAGTCAGACCTATTGCTTTCTCCTGCTGCTAAACTCCAAGCCATGTGAGTATCTTTCTTTTCCTCTTCTCTTCCCTTTTTCCCTTCTTCCCTTCTCATCTCTCTTCTTCTTCTGTGAATCTTTTACCTGACACTCTGGCTCTCGTTCATCTCCAATCAATTCTTCTAGATCTTCATTTCTTTTACCACCAAGCCATGTACACCAACCTTTTTTGACACCGATGTTTCCATTCTTCCAGGTTCCCACTTTTTGATCAACTTTGCAGCCAAAGATTTGTGCACACCTTGTACAACACCCAGAATATTACTGATCCCATCCCATTTTACAACCGAACTCGTGAAACGCAAGAACTATTTAATTGATTAAAAGGAAAACCACTATTTACAATCTTGCTAGGCCCTCCCAGCTCCGGAAAAACGGCACTGGCTTGTCACCTGACTTGTCAAACCTGAGCTGATGGAACTTCAGAGTTCCATCCAATTACGATCAATCTCCATGCAGTTGATACGTCAAGAAACACCAGCTTTCTCAGGGCTTTTGTGCGTAAGGGATTAAGTTTGGCTTCACATAACAAAAGGTGGGGCAACCTACTCAGTGGGCTCAAGCTGTCAGCTGCTTGGTTTTCAATTGAGTTTGGGAAGACCAACACTTCCACTGCACCTGCCGCAGTTGTCTTTGATGAGCTTGGTAACTGTCTGAAGCCATGGTCACTTGCCCATGGAGAAAGACCACCAGTGCTGATCATTGAAAAAGCAATTTCATTTAAGAAAATGAGCTATGATGTATGTCTCTTTTCACCCTTCTCATATTACATATATGCATATTGACAATATCAGATTTTCAAGTTAACACAGGCATTCCTTGACTTTGCCGTTTGGGTCACCAAAGAAGAGGCAAAGATGCATGTCATCTTTATGTCTTCTGATTCATTCTTTGGGAAATGGCTCAAGGAACGTCAGTCCAAGCATTCATCTTCATCCATGTTTTGAATCAGACAAATGGGTTGAACACATGCTGTGGTATACCTTAAGGGTAGCCATCTGGCCCATTTAAAAATTTTACGGTTTTTTCTTTTATTACAAATTACATACTTTTTACACCTTTTTTCTCATATATACACTCGCAAATCAACCATTATGGCTCAAGAACTGGATTCTATGGTCAATTTCACCCTTGGTCACCACTGGAGGCGTCACTGGAACTCAAATGGATTGGAAGCTACACGCTCTGGACCATCACTAGACTCAATTACACAACTCACCACCATGGCAACACTTCAACACTCAACAACACCAACAAATTACATACCTCATCGCTATACATATGTACATTTCAGGACA